AATTGTCGGCTTTGCTTTGTCGGATAGGCGCCCTTTTTGGTCAAGATTCAATTTGTTTTGCAATTGCACAGTGAATTTGGGCGGAATTTAGCTTATCCAACAACACAGAAGTTTGGTCAACGTTGTTTTGTTATTAGAGGTTAGGACTATACTTTGTAGAAGTATCATGTCATCTCTCGTTGTTTCTAGCTTGCAACAAGTTATCAAACTTGATGTATATTATTACCACAAATTTGAACACTTTTCATTGTCTGACAGGTTGATTGACATATCTCATAAACAATAGACAGTTGAACCAAACCGTTTTACTTGGTTAATGTATTAGTGATGTTGTACAAGTGTGCCAAGTTTCAGGGGAATCAGTGATGTGCGCTGTAGATTTGCCTACATGGCCCTCAGGTGGAATCTCTCACATTTTTTCGCAATTGCACCGTGAATTTAGGCGGAATTTAGCTTATCCAACAAGACTTCTGTGTAAATTGGACTGAAATATTCTTCACTTTGCCGCACTCTACTGCACTTGTTGTTTCTGGTGAAACACGCGGTAACTGGCAATTTTTTTATTTGTTTGTCAATGAATTTTCCTGCCAATGTTGACTCAGCATTTTACTGACATAGAGAAACGTGAAGAGAATCTTGTACGTTTCTCAACGATATACAATCATAGCCTGGGAGCTGGGGGATTGGGATGGGAACTCCACTTAAGTTACGTAACAGCGATACGGAGAAGACGTTGTAGCTTTTGGAGTTGAAAATTTGTGTCTGTTTCGCTTCAGTGGTTGATCAGTTTGATATAGTGTCGGAGACACTTTCTAGCTGCGCTAAAGCTCGCCGTAAGCTGTAGTGGGCTACACTTTGTTCGCTAATGTGCCCTGAAACGGACTGGAACATTCGCGTCGGAAAGCAAGGTCATGTGCTTATTTTAACTGATTTTAAGAGGTGGTGTTGTGATGCCTCATCCCTGACATCAGTGTGTGTCAACAATTATTTTCAGACAAAGAAAAAATGGATTTTTTTAAATAAATTTATCTCATAAACATTTTGCTTTTTGGGTTTGCTAAATTCGAGACAAAGCAATGGTTTATTACCTTGAAGTAAGCTTAATTTTAAGACCAATTTTGTGTTTGGCTTAGTTTCGTTCGACTAAAGACTACTCGAGTCATTTTCTAGGAAAAGAAACTGCATTTTGTTTCTTCTTCCTGCTTTTTGTAGTTGTTCACAGCCTCGACAAGACCTTCTTGTACCTCATATTTCGCCTAGTCACGCAAAATATTATCTAAATTCGGAAACCTTAGGGGAAGTGTTTCATTGGCGTCATCTATGCGTCTGTCCTCTAATAGATCATAGGTGAGAACCAATCAAAATGCGAGAATAATTTGACTTACTATTGCGTTCGACGCTAGGAGAACGCATATTAATCGCTTCATTCTCGCGGGTTTATGTCCCGCGATTTTCCGCGATGCCAGATGATTTCAGGGTTTGGACGCCATTTTGGACTGGCTTTTTGGCACACATAGCCTCGGTCTGACGTGATGCCTCACTTTGAATAATAGTGAGGTCTTACACGAAGTGCTACCCGTGCATTTCCGTGTGCTTTTCTTCGTTCGTTGTTCTACGTAGGAATCGTCGCAGTTTTCCCCAAGGTTAGTGAAGTTGTTTTGATTTATTCGAACTATTACTAGCTAAAATGCCTAAAGGTACTTATCTAAGCACCAGAAAGTTGTGTAGTGCTGTGTTTTCTCCGAAACTGGGTGGGTAACATATCGATTTGTGATCTGTGTCGTCCTTCAGGAGTCAGCTGCTTTTCTCGGCGATTCAACTTCTCTGTGAGAATGAAGTTGCAACACTCACTCATCCTCATGGACCCATGAGGACTCTTGAGGCCGGAATGAAGTTGCAAGGCTCGACCGTAATAGCTCGAATAAATCAACACGACTTCATTGATCATGGGAAAGACAGCAAATATTCCAACGTAGCACAGCAAACGACGAAAAAAAATGGCAATGCACCCCACTCAAGGGTTTCCACTGCAGGTCATCTTAATAGGCTCTTAATTGATGTAAGCCGGGTGTAAGCTTGCACATGAACTTAAGTGAAAAACGTTCATGTTTGGAAATAAAGTTTCATATACTGTTATTCTTTTCTATTGTTATACACAGTACCAGAAACATATTTAACCTTACTAAACGATGCGCCAGCTAGAGTTATGTGACATGTGATGCTAATAAAGGACACAAGAATTAAACAACACCCTGAAGAATACACAACTTGGAAAACCCTGAAAGCGGAAGGACATAAATGGGCTTTAGTATGCGCTGCTGTCAAGGGTATGCTTTTCCAGCAGTTTGCTTTGGGTATAGGAATCAGGATCTGGCAAAACAGTCGTGGATCTTGATATAAAAAGAATTGAGTTTCTGATTTGTTTTTATTAAATATAGTATGCAATATTATTTAGCATGAAATATTAATAGATAAGGTATTTCTGGTACTAAGCCTACAATTAGATGTCCAAATACTAACTGAATATCCGCTGCTATATCCCAATCAAAGGAGACCTATGGCCAAACTCGTGGATTAAGTAATCTAGGGATGAAACATGTTGGCGAACGTGCAATTATTGGTGTATTATTAAAGGTGGTTAAAACATGCTGGGTTTGTACCACGCAAGGTCACACTTATCTCACAAAGCGTAGGCTTTTTTCGTTGGCTTTTGTTGCACACATATTACAAACACATACGTCCAGAATAGCTAAGGTGGCAAAATTGCAGCTGAACATGAAGTGGTAAAGCTTAAGGGTTCTTGGGTAACAGAGGACACTCCTACCAAAAAATTCATAGAGTACTCTTTGTCTGTCTGCTGGGAAAATTTCCATGTATTCAGGTCGTACGAGCTTACACGCCTTTTTCATTGCATTTCACTCAAGGCTATAGGTAAGGTTTCTTACGAGAGAGCACTTCTTTTCCAATGTGGGACTGCTTGTCTCTCTATATATTGCATGTAAAATAGATCAAAATAAGTAGCCTCTTTTGCAAGCATCTTCAGTGTTGATCCAAAAAATCTGTCGATCCATAAATACGTGTTCCAACAAGCTCACAGAGGGTTTCTTTCCCTTTGTTATATTTTCAGTCAGGAAGCAAAAGTATAAACAAAGGAAAGGGTAAAAATCATTTAAGCATATCAAAATTAAGTATTTGGGAATTTTTTTCTCCAAGCCGGATTATGTGCATTTCACATCCCACTCAGAGTTCAGGTCAATGTACTAAAATAAACAAGACAAGCATAGAGAACACAACTTTAATCTAAACTTAACTCGATGGCCGTTGAACATGGACAACTCAACATGAAAAACTTAAGTGCTANTTAGTATGCGCTGCTGTCAAGGGTATGCTTTTCCAGCAGTCTGCTTTGGGTATAGGAATCAGGATCTGGCGAAACAGTCATGGATCTTGATATAAAAAGAATTGAGTTTCTGATTTGTTTTTATTAAATATAGTATGCAATATTATTGAGCATGAAATATTAATAGATAAGGTATTTCTGGTACTAAGCCTTCAATTAGATGTCCAAATACTAACTGAATATCCGCTGCTATAACCCAATCAAAGGAGACCTATGGCCAAACTCGTGAATTAAGTAATCTAGAGATGAAACATGTTGGCGAACTTGCAATTATTGGTGTACTATTAAAGGTGGTTAAAACATGCTGGGTTTGTACCACGCAAGGTCGCACTTATCGCATAAAGCGTAGGCTTTTTTCGTTGGCTTTTGTTGCACACATGTTACAAACACATACGTCCAGAATAGCTAGGGTGGCAAAATTGCAGCTGAACATGGAGTGGTAAAGCTTAAGGGTTCTTGGGTAACAGAGGACACTCCTACCAAAAAATTCATTGAGTACTCTTTGTCTGTCTGCTGGGAAAATTTCCATGTATTCAGGTCGTACGAGCTTACAGACCTTTTTCATTGCATTTCACTCAAGGCTATAGGTAAGGTTTCGTACGAGACAGCACTTCTTTTCCAATGTGGGACTGCTTGTCTCTCTATATATTGCATATAAAATACATCAAAATAAGTAGCCTCTTTTGCCAGCATTTTCAGTGTTGATCCAAAAAATCTGTCGATCCATAAATATGAGTTCCAACAAGCTCACAGAGGGTTTCTTTCCCTTTGTTATATTTTTAGTCAGGAAGCAAAAGTATAAACAAAGGAAAGGGTAAAAATCATTTAAGCATATCAAAATTAAGTATTTGGGAATTTTTTTCTCCAAGCCGGATTATGTGCATTTCACATCCCACTCAGAGTTCAGGTCAATGTACTAAAATAAACAAGACAAGCATAGAGAACACAACTTTAATCTAAACTTAACTCGATGGCCGTTGAACATGGACAACTCAACATGAAAAACTTAAGTGCTATAAACTACAAAGCAGTGAACGAAGGTCCTGCTTGATTAAACGCTGGATCTCACAGGAGATCTAATCAGCCAAACTTGAAAAATAAGACGATAATACGTCAAAGACTACTGCAAGACTGGCTCAACGTCCTATATTCAAAACAATATTTCGGCAGGCCTTAGGTTTAGATGTTACTAAAATATAATCAAAGGAGACCTATGGCCAAACTCGTGGATTAAGTAATCTAGAGATGAAACATATTGGTGAA